AAAATTACTTACACATTTTAAGGTAAAAGGTTTTTTTTATGCAAGATGAGCATGGTTCTAAAATATGGGTCAAGCTGGGCGGTTGGGTTATGACCCATTGTTTAGCCCATCTTAGCCCAAGTACACTTTGGGCTGTGTTGGGCAATGACCCATTTATTGACCTAACCCATCTTGACCCGCCCAAATTCAGCCCAACCCGCCCATTTGCCACTCCTAAGTTTTAGCCATAAGTATAAAAAAATCTATCCTTTTTAAATTCTATACCAGTCAAACATTGTCACATGAATTAAGATGGAAGGAGTATTCTGTAAGAAGTAGAAATCATAGTGGGGCAATATAAAATTATAAATCCATATTAGCCACACACAAAAAAAAAAAAAAAAAAAAGCACACCCTATCAAGAGGTTCTCCATTTTAGATAATCGAACCTAGAACTTCTAGTTAAAGATCAAGGAATACGTACCATTTCACTACACCCAGGTTTCCAGTGACAAAATGTGTTGCCTTCCAATAATTACATAACAACAAAACACTAAAACATAGCCGGTTTTTCTTTTGAGAAATGTATATTTTTAGTCGCTCCCGAAATATAATAGAAAATATTTTTTTTATACATAGTGGATTATATACAAAAAAAATGTATATTTTATACACTTCTTAGCTGCAAATGCAAATAGTTTCGGCCGACCGATCAATTTCATATTTTGCCCTTTCCTTTTGATATAATTGGGCCCTGACTCAAATAGTTTGGGCTCACAGTTAATGTTAGGCCCAAGATTTTATTACTTATACAGGTTCGAGCATTCCTCCTTCCACATTATTACAAGAGAAAACTGACTAAACCATTTAAATTTTATTTAATTATTTCAACTAATATCCAAGGCTGGATAGTATATAACAAAACTATAACATTACAACTTTTAACATAATTAGACAAGAGGAACATGGCAAAAAGAGGCAAAAATGGTATTAACCCCTAACTTTTTGAATGTGACAGAGTAGATTATTGAACAGAACCAAATTTAATAGAAAAAGGATATAATTAATTTGGCTCTTTCCTTTAGAACCAAATACAAAGGAAGATACAGGAAAACAGAAAATGACTCAAGCTACAATGCAGTGATAGAAAGCACATAGACAATGTTATAATTTAAAGACATTTTCAAATGGTCAATCCTTTGAAAGGAAAAAAGGAACAACTCATTATATTTTTGTCCATTTAAAATCTCGAGTTCTAAAATACACTATGCTTAAACAATTAACATTATCAGGTTGAAGAATTAATCAAGTCAGAGCCCAGAGACGACAACAACAATAACAACAATCCAGTAAAATTTCACTATTAGAGCATAGGAAGGATAGTGTGTACGCAGAGTTGCAGACCTTACATCTACCCGAGAGAGTGGAAAAGATATTTTCGACAGAACCTCAACTCGAAAACACGAAAGAGAGTGTGAAGGAGATTTTGCAATGCTTATAGGGGGGTAAAGAGAGAATGTTACTTCATCCAATTTAGAAGTCAAGTAAGATACATTGTACAAAAAATTGACACCTAAATTGGAAAAAATGAAGAAAAATTGGCGGATATGACAATAACAACAACAAATTCAATGTAATCTCACAAGTATGTAAATCAGTCAAAAAATAATTTAAATAGAGAGTAACGAGGGTACAATTACAACAAATGATGATAGATATATATTGCATGATAATGAAAATTCATGCTACATAACCATGAAGAAAATCAAATACTGTTAAATTTCACCTGTTATTTTTAACGTATTAGAAATCCGTTATACACTTATCGGCTAAAATCTTGGATTTCTTTGTCAAGCCTTCAACGTCAAAATCACAAGTAATTGTCAAATCTTTCTTCATATTTTTAACCCAACTCTTAATCTCCATTTTCACATAAATCATCAACGTCATTATTATTGGCTTCTTCTCATCTTCAAGACTTTTAATAAAATCACCAGGCAATTTTCCATTAGAACCAACATCAAGATTAAGATGAACATTATTAGAAACCTCAGCTTTTTGTGAAATTGATGGATATTTCCCTTGTCCAATATCATGTTTCTTGAAAATAAGAGTAGCTTTCCCTTCTTTTCCTTCACCAAATGATACATCCATTCTTTCATTTATATTTTTCACTTTCAGATCAATCTCGAACCTTGAATGTTGCTGAGGTTGATTTTTTTGGCCATGGCCATGACTAATAGGGCCCGTAACATTCTTGAGATCGATACCGACAATAGAAAAATTAGGACATTTAGGGATGTACAACATGTGAATAACCCATATTATAACACCAATAATGATACCAAATATAAGTAACCCTAATAGGATCCAACAACAACATCCAAATTTTCTCTTGCTTTGATAATTATTATTAGGTTTACGATGATTTTCCACGATTTTTGCATTTTCTGGTGGTGGTATACGATAAACTTGATCTCTAGGAATTTGGACAATGTAGGTATCCGACGATCGGACCGGTGGGAGAGCTAGCCGGAGCGATGTTGCCGAAGAAAATTTGTTATTATTGTTGTTGTTATTGTTTCCGACAGGTGAAATCCGCTCCTCCATGCAAGATTGAGGAGCGGTGGATATAACAAGAATTGGGGGACAAAAAGGTTGTGACAATATAGGAATAATTTATGGTTATTTGCATGGGAATAAGGAGTTGGCCATTGGGATAGAAAGGTTTGATTGAGATTTGAAAGAAATTGTTGTTTCTTTGTCTTAAGAGTCTTTGAAAACAAAAAATATCAAGTACTCCGTATAAACAGGGCGGAGCTAGAATATCGATTATGGGTTCGGCCGAATCCCGTTAGTATTAGTTCAAACTTTATATTTGTTTTAAAAAATTCATAGAATATACAAAAATTATTAATTTAGTAGAATAACTAGAATATCAAAGCCGTAAATTACAAATCCTGGTTTCACCTCTACCTATAAAGACTTATTAATTAATAACTTGTTTGGATTGTTGTTACATGTTGTTTCATAATGTATCGTATTCTATTATATTGTATTGTATTGTATTGTTTGATGAGTATAATGTTTGGATAAATTGTAACGTTTGTCGTCGTTTATTGATGTCATGCACCAACAATATGAAAAATAAACTTGCAACATTACTAAGAAAAAATGGGATAAGAAGTAGAATTATTATATTAAAAAATAGGGTAAAGGATAAAATATAATTATTTAATAATATAAAAGGGCAAGATGAGATAAGAATAAAGCAAGGAAACAAAGCCACCACACCAAATCCGTCGTTTTATAAAGTGGCACTTTTCGTCATTATGTAACAATGGATGTAACGATACGATACAATAAGATTTAAATAACAATCAAAATAAACATTGTATTTAAAGTAACAACACGATATAATACACAAACAAACTGTAAGGCTACATTTCTGTGATGACCCAAAAGGTCATCACTTGTTTTTAAATTAAATTCTGCGTTTTGAGGCCTTAGAAACCTCTTTCAGCATCACCTCGATTTGCGTGCGCAGTCCGGGCGCGTAGCCGGAAAGTCTATATGTGAAAATCTGTGAAAAATGATAAAATTTAGCTTTAAAATGAATTAATTTGACTTCGGTCAATATTTTGGAAAAACGGACTCGGACCCGTAATTTGACGATCCCGGAGGGTCCGTAGGAAAATATGGAACTTGGGCGTATGCCCGGAATCGAATTCTGAGGTCCCAAGCCCGAGAAATATATTTTTTAAAGAAAATTGTTTTCTGAAATTATTTATGAGTTTTGGAAATGAAATATGATTAGAACTTGATGGTATCGGGCCCGTATTTTGGTTCCGGCGCCCGGTACAGGTCTTATATGTGATTTAAGATAAGTCTGTGAAATTTGGTAAGAAAAGGAATTGAAACGACGTGAATCGGATCGTTTTTGAGAAAAATTGGAAATTTGAAGTTCTTAAGAATATTTCATGATTTTGATACTAAATTCATAGTTGTTGATGTTATTTTAGTGATTTGAATGAAAGAGCGAGTCCGTATGATATTTTTAGGTTGGTGTGCATATTTGGTTTGGAGCCCCGAGGGCTCGGGTGAGTTTTGGATAGGCCACGGAGTGAAATCTTAACTTAGGAAATTGCTGGTATGCTTCAGACCTGCAGGCTTCGCATTTGCGAAGCCTGTCTTGCAAATGCGAGCCATGTATCACAAATGCGAGAGGTGGCCTGGGCAGCCTTCTTCGCAAATGCAAAGTGTTTGTCGCAAATGCGACACCCGCCTGGATCCTTCTTAGTCGCAAATGCGAAACCTTAGTCGCAAATGCGACACTTCTTTCGCAATTCCCAACTTAGCAGAGGTCGGGGTTCGCAATTGCGAACCGCTGTTTGCAATTCCCACATCTGAGACCTGCAATTTTTATACTTAAACGAATTTTAACCCATTTTCACATCTTTTCAAAACACAAACTCCCTAGGGCGATTTTTCAAGAACAACTCTTCTTCCAAATCGATTGTAAGTCACTTTTAACTCGTTTTCTTCAATCATTAACATCTTTTAACATGATTTCAACTCAAAATCAATGATTTTCTTGGGGAAATTGGGTGTTTGGGATAGAACCAAGGTTTTTCAAAAATTGGGGATTTGGACCTCGATTTGAGGTCCGATTTCAAAAAAAAATTATATATTTGGGTTCGTGGGGGAATGGGTAATCGGGTTTTGGTTCGAACCTCGGGTTTTGACCATGCGGGCCCGGGGAGCGATTTTTGACTTTTTGGGTAAAACTTTAGAAAACTCATCTTCATGCATTAGAATTGATTCATTTAGCGTTTATTGATGTAATTAAGTAACTTGTGGCTAGATACGAGCGAATTGGTGGTGGAATCAAGGGGTAAAGCTTTAATTGAGACGTGAATTGTGTTCGTGGCATCGAGGTAAGTGTTTGGTCTAAACTTAGCTTGAGGGATTAGGAGTCGTGTCTTATTTGCTACGTGTTAATTGTGGAATACGACGTATAGGCATGGTGACGAGTATCTATACGTAGGTGTCAAGCATGCCCGTGAGTCTTGTATTACAATTGTCATGACTCCATTGTGGTTTATTGTGCCTCATATGTTACTATCATTATTGTTCCCTTGCCGGGATGTTGTTATATTGTTCTTGTTCCCTTGCCGGGATGTTGTTATATTACTCTTGTTCCCTTGCCGGGATGTTGTTATATTGCTCTTGTTCCCTTGCCGGGATTCTTTGTGGTTATTGTTGAATTGTAACTGGGATCGGGTGGCACGCCTGCCACGAGATAAATGAAATGGGAGCGGTTGGCATGCCTGCCACAAGATAAATGAAATGGGAGCGGGTGGCATGCCTGCCACGAGATATATGAAATGGGAGCGGGTGGCCCGCCTGCCACGAGATATATGTAATGGGAGCGGGTGGCACGCCTGCCACGAGATATATGTAATGGGAGCAGGTGGCACGCCTGCCACGAGATATATGTAATGGGAGCGTGTGGCACGCCTGCCACGAGATATATGTAATGGGTGCGGGTGGCACGCCTGCCACGAGATATATGTAATGGGAGCGGGTGGCACGTCTGCCACGAGATATATGAAATGGGAGCGGGTGGCATGCCTGCCACGAGATATATGGAATGGGAGCGGGTTGCATACCTACAACGAGATATGTGAAATGGGAGCGGGTTGCACGCCTGTAACAAGGTGTGAAATGAAAGTGAATTCTGCCTTTGTTTTCTTTATCCTTGTTAGTAGTTGGATTTTGGTTCCTTTATAATTCTCTTGATATTCTGTTTTACCAGTTATTCCCCGTAGCATGCTTTCCCCCTCCCATCTTTACTTGTTTATTTCTGCTTTACTTTCCGTTGTATATTATATAACTGCACAGGTTTATTTGGTAGTCTGGTCCTAGCCTCGTCACTTACCAGCACATGGGGTCCGTTGTGCTGATATTACACTCTGCACTCTTTTGTGCAGATCCCAGTGTTGTAGATTTCGGACCGCAGTGAGGTTGCTGCTTCTGGTCCATCAGGCGACCCGAGGTAGTCCTGCAGGCGTCCGCAGGCCTTTGTGTCTCCTTCTAGCTATTATTCCTGTTTCTTTCTTGTTTCTCTAGAGACAGTGTTCTATTACCTCTTTCAGACCTTTATTTGTAGTAATCTTAGACAGTCTGTGAAGTTATGACACCAAATCTTGGATAGTGTTGTTACGGAATGGTATTAGCAGTATTATTAAACATGAAATTTAGTCTTTCGCTTGTTAAATTTTGTTGATTATTAACTGTTGGATTATAACATTTAACAGATTTAAAAATAGAAACAAGGCAAATAATTCAGTTGATTGGCTTGCCTAGCTTTCATTAGTAGGCGCCATCACGACTCCCAAGGGTGGGAGATCCAGGTCGTGACAAGTTGGTATCAGAGCTCTAGGTTACATGGGTCTCACAGTTCACAGACAAGCTTAGTAGAGTCTGAGGGATCGGTACGGAGACGTCTGTATTTATCCCCCAGAAGCTACAGAGTTGGGAAAATTTCACATCTTTTCTTTCCTGTCGTGCGGTTTGGTTTCTCAATGCTGATTGAATTTCCATTCTGTTCTCTCGCAGATGCCGAGAACACGCGCTTCCTCATCCGCTGACCAGTAACCCGAGCCCCCAGCAGCAGCTCCCACGAGGGGCAGAGGGCGAGGCCGAGGCCGTGCTAGAGGCCGAGGTAGGGGCAGAGCTCAGCCTAGAGCAGCAGCACCAGCAGTGGAGCCTCAGGTTGACTTTGATGATGAGGTTCCGGCCCCAGCAGCTCTGGTGGGCCCAGCTCAGGTCCCAGAAGGGTTTATTGCTACCCCAGTACTCCAGGATGCTCTGGTCCGTCTAGTGGGCCTTATGGGGAGTGTCACCCGGGCAGGCTTGCTTCCTGTCGCACCAGCCGTCTCTCAGGCTGGAAGAGGAGCCCAGACTCCTACTACTCGCACTCCGGAGCAGGTAGCTCCCCAGTTTCAGACTCCAGTAGTTCAGCCAGTTGGAGCAGCTCAGCCGGGTGTGGTAGCCTAGACCGGTGACGGCGCAACTATGTCTGCCGATGTTTTGTGGAGGTTGGATAGGTTCACCAAGCTCTTCACTACTACGTTCAGCGGTGCATCTTCTGAGGATCCCCAGGATTATCTGGACAGCTATCATGAGGTTCTCAGGAACATGGGGATAGTGGAGACCAATAGGGTCGATTTTGCTACTTTTCGCTTGTCTGGATCCGCCAAGACTTGGTGGAGAGATTATTGCTTGGCTAGACCAGCCGGATCACCAGCTTTGACTTAGGAGCAGTTTACTAAGCTATTTCTGGAGAAGTTTCTCCCTATCACTCAGAGACAGGCCTATCGGAGGCAGTTTGAGCGTCTTCGGCAGGGTTCTATGACCGTTACTCAGTATGAGACCAGATTCATCGACTTGGCTCGTCATGCTCTTGTCATACTTCCCACCGAGAGGGAGAGGGTGAGGAGGTTCATTGAGGGACTTATCCAGCCTATTCGACTTCAGATGGCTAGGGAGACAGGGACTTAGATCTCTTTTCAAAAGGCGGCCAATGTGGCCAGGAGAGTGGAGAT